AGTTCATTAGGCACTCAATCAGATATAGTCCCTTGAATCTATTTCTCACTTCCACTGGGATTCTGCATATGAATTTGAGGGGAGACATAAAGCATCCAGTCCACAACATCATCTGCCGCTAGCTCCAATCAGCAGTAAGTTTACTCTTTCCTTTTTTTTTTAATAATTTTTTAAATTTATTTTTTACTTTGCTGGGTCTTTGTTGCTGCAAGGGCTTTTCTCCAGACGTGGCGAGCGGGGGTTACTCTCTAGTTGCAGTGCACAGGCTTCTCCCAGTGGTGGCTTCTCCCGTTGCTGAGCACAGAATCTAAGACACACACGCTTCAACAGTTGCACATGCGGGCTCAGTAGCTGCGGCTCCCAGGCGCTAGAGCTCAGACTCCATAGCTGAGGAACACAAGCTTAGCTGCTCTGAGGCATGTGGGATCTTCCTGGATCAGAGATCGAACCAGTGTCTCCTGCATTGGCAGGCGGACTCTCTACCACTGATCCACCTAGGAAGCCCCAGAATAGCCACACTATTCAGGAATAAAAAGAAACAAACTACTAACATGAAGTGAAAAGACATAAGGGACCATATACTCTACCATCCCACTTATATAAAATATCCAGAACAGGCAAATTTATAAAGAAAGAAATTAGACCAGCGGCTGCTGGGGCTGGGAATGGGAACAGGGATATCTTGGGGAAATAAAAAAGTTCTAAAACTGATTTATGATCATTTTTGCACTGCCTGGTAAATCAAATCATCCAACTGTTCACTTATGAGTCCATTTGACATGTGAAATGTATTTTAATAAAGCTGTCAAAATTTTTTAATTAGACACTCAGTTGAATATTAATCTTGTTAATGTATTTTCTAGCCACCCTTTCCCCTACAACAGACCCTAATATCTCTTGAGGGTGAGACCAAATCTCCCACATATTATGTGAAATTTTAATACAAATTACATATAATCCAAAGCTCTACACACACTGTGTTCACAACCCTCTGTGGATACGACTTTGCCTTGTCAGGCTATGGGGTGACTGTAACCATCAAGAACGTCAAGGAAGAAAGGGTGTGTGTGGATGGACTAGCAGAACAACTGCATTTGAATCCCAGCTCCTCTAGGTGTAAACTCAGGGAACGGCCTGCCATGAGCCTAATCTCCAGGTCGAAAGTAGGAAAAGGGTTTCCCAGGTAGTGCTGGTGGTAAAGAACTGGTCTGCCAGTGCAGGAGATGCAAAAGATGCAGGTTCAATCCCTGGGTCTGAAAGATCCCTTGGAGGAGGACATGGCAATCCACTCCAGAATTCTTGCCTAGAGAATCCCATAGACAGAGGGGCCTGATGGGCTATCGTCCATAGGGTCACAAAGAGTCGGACACAACTGAAGCAACTTAGCACACACGCATGCAAATGGGGAAATATGTGGTAGCAACCTCACAAGGTTTTTCAGAGGATGGAATGAGATGATCTGAATAAAACTTTTAGCATGGTGCTTGGAACATGTTACAGCTCACTGAATCTTGACTTAAAACATACAAACCCAACCACAAACGCACACACACCAGAGGAATCTCTTCACACAGGAAACACCTTTAAGAACAGAGGGGCCAACTACAGATGACCCACCCCCGTCTGCCACCCACCAGGCAGCCAGGGGCCTTGTGTCATCTCTTCTCCCTTCCAAGCCCAGTGAAATGCATATGTGACCAGAAATACCACCACTAATCACCTAACAAGAGGAGCTGAGCAGCGCCCACAGTTTTCATCATTTAGTCTGTCTGCCTCTCCATCCTCTCATCCTACAAATGTGGGATTCCAGCTCCTGGCCCCCTTGGCATGAGCAGGGCGCACATCCTGTTCTAACCAGTGAATGAGAGAAAATGACTTGTCACTTTCAAACCAGAGCACGTGTCTGGACAAGACTCTCCCTGAAGAACCAGCAAGAGGTCCAGCCGGCAGCTGCGGTCAGCGAGCCACGTGAGGCCAGGATGGAGCGGGCCCCCTGCTAACCTGTGCCGGGCGGGGAGCCGAGGGGGAAACACGTGCTCTGAATCCCCCAGCCTTGCCCACGTCACAAGGCTCCCAGGCTCGCGGTGCCTGCAGAACGGCCGGGTGAGAGGTTCCAAAGGACCCAGAGTGAGGGCCGTGGGGAGAGCGCTTTGGGGAACCCAAGCATGCTGTGTCACAGATAAATCAGGAGAGCCGGAGGACGAGCAGCGCTTAGGAAAGCCACAAGCCCGACCAAGTCACAAGGCGCTCAGGCTGTGAAACTGTCCGTTTTCAGGCTCTCACCTAACACCTAAGGCACTCTCCTCCCCTAGCTTCTGAGGTGAGCACTCTCCCGGCTCTGTGAGCCTCTGGCCGCTCAGCGTCTCGTGGCTCCACTTCCTCCGCCTGCCTGTCCCCTCCCCATGCTGGCAACCAGGGCTCTGTCCTCAGCCCCACATGCCCTCCGAATGCTTATTACAGTGGGTACTAAGCAGATAAATTATTTCAGGCTCGGGGAAAATCTTACTTGGTGTGAGGCATGACAGCGATGCTCTACCTGGGACAAATGGTGTAGTCCAGACCAAGAAAGAAGAAAGTTGAAGAAAGCTGTAACTTCTGACTGCACAGTCATGAAAGAATGCAAGAAGAGCCACATCCAAATCACCTCTTTAGCCAAGTGAAGGTCTCAAAATACAGCCAAGGGAGCTTTTGTTCCTTATTACGTTCCCCTAAGCATCACTCATTGTTTAAGGCAGGGCAAATCCTGTCAAGCATTTATGGAGCTCTTTTCTTCTCCTTATAAATAAATAAATGTGTAAAGAAAGCATCCACTAATCTCTATTTTCTCTAACCTGCTTGATTTTCTAAAGTTCGAAAAAGCAATCCTGGTGTCCTGAAACCACAGCCAAGGCTTCTCAACATCCTCAGTTAAAATACCTGTTATTTCCCAACCAGGGCAAGCACAGCACCATTACCTACACGTCACAGCACACAGCTCGCTGCTGCTGACCTCTGTCTGCCCATCACAGGGTAGGCTGTGCTCACTGCCCAGTCTTCTTCAGCCGCAAAAACATTCAGAACTTGGGACTTCCCTAGTAGTGCTGTGGCTGAGACTACACACTTCCAACTCAGCGGGTATGGGTTCTAACCCTGGTCGGGGAACTGGGCTCCTATATGCCAAACGGCATGGTAAAAAAATTTAAAAAGAAAAAACACTCAGAACTCACTGCCCACATAGCAGACTTCTCATGGCAGCGCACTAAGTGACAAAAAGACCAAGAAAGAAAAGGAACGGTTTTTATTGCTTTACAACAAGCCAGCGGCAGACACAACACAATAATCACACACAACACTTGATGCCCCCAAATGGTGTATGAAACCAGAACGTGCTCCTCCACTTAACACCTGTTTGTGAAAACTGAAATCCAAAACTTCTCCCAAGAACTTGACTATTCCCAAGCAGAATCAATACTTAAAGAAGCAAAGAAAAAGAGTATCAAACTTACTGCACATGTCTGAGCACATAATTCAGAACCTTTTACACTCAATCCAGGCAGTGCTGTTACTGAACATTTTAGATGACCATCCTAGGTACTTTACAACTCCAACAACTTTCTTCTTTCCACAAATTCTTTGCAGAAAGAGCTGTCAAGAAAATTGTTCTAAAATCCAACAATGCACAGCAATTTATGCCTCATTTCTACTTCTTTCCTCATGATGGAAAATTTGGTCAAGTCCTTAACGTGGCCTGATGACAGCTTTGATGCCACGCCAAAAATCCTACTGTACAAAAAGGAAGCCTAAACTCATATTAGGCATGAGAGGGTGACACTTCTAAGTAGTTCCTATCATTCTGGACACAGTGGCACCTTCCTTTCAGTGAGCTCCAAGAGACTGTGGTTTAAGTCACCATTTTAATAATTTCAACTCAACAGCAAGTTATATGGCAAGTACTACCTGAAAATGGGGGGATGGGGAGCGTGGGGGTTGCAGGGGACGGGCCCTGTGCCAGGAAGATAAATGTGCCTTGCCCAAAACTGGGATAATTAACAACCTGAGAGGATTGCTTACTCTTAAAAATATGACCAAGTCAGCTATTTTTTGCCTTTTCATTCAAGGTTTTCTCTTTCTTCCAGACAAAGCACAGCATTCTTCTCCCAGAATACCACCAGTCAGGGTGTTGAGAATTGACTGAGTGGCTTCACACTCCCAGACCTATAGGTCTACCTGGCTATTAGGTAAGAGGTTTCATACTCAGAAATATATCAAATGAAATGTTTAAGATGCATGCGGAGAAGATGTTTAATTCTGCAACAGCAGAATGTTAAGGCAACATCAGAAAACGGGTGTTTTAGAACCCTACCCCTACTCCCCATCTGGTAAACAAAGCCAGATGATGTTACTCAATCCTTAATACAAAATTGTCCCAAAATAACATGCTGAACTTGTCTTTGCAGATTAATCTCTGACATTTTGATGGCAGTGAGACAGACTCCTGGGGCTATACTTCCCTTGCAAAAAAATTCAACACCTGATTTACTCACAAGGCTTAAAATAAGGAAGGAAAGCATAAAATAAGTTGTCCTTCACTTGGCAACCATCCGTTTAATTATCTGTTTTTACACTGTATCCAGGCCACACCTGGATATGGATGGCTAATGTGGAAATAGAAAACACCAAGGATCGCTCCTGGAGAATCACAAACAAGACAATGAAGTTCTCAAACAGCACATCGACAGCATCAGGGTAAGCAAGAAAAAACTTTACCAAGAGATCAACATGTACATTTTCTGACAGAAGTGAAGTACACTGAATTACAGAGCAAATTCACTGAAAACAACAACAAAAAACCTGTCTTTGTAAAGGCTATTCTGTCACCCCCTGAAGTGCCTCAGCTCCGGGACACCACACACCGGGTAAGAAGATGAAGCGCGGTGTTCAGCGGCGGGACACCCTAACTACCATGGCGGGCGCGGGGCTGGCCTGGCGGCGCGGCTGGAGGCCGCAGGCCCGGGGAGCCGCTACTTCTCCACGCAGGCCGCTGCCGTCTGCTTGTTGAAGCCCCGGATGGAGAGGTCGTAGACCACCTCCTCCACTTTCTTCACGTCGTACTTCAGGCCGTCGTAGCGCTTCCTCAGGGAGTCGTTCTTGAGGTTGAGGAGGCGGAAGCCGGAGTCCAGCTCGTTGATGAAGGTGGAGATGTGCAGAGGCCGCGAGTAGTCCCCGGCGGTCACGCTGTTGACGGACAGCCTCGACTGCGGGGGAGAAGCGGGGTCACAGTGGGGCTCTGCCCCCAAGGCCGGCCACGAGGCCGGCGTGCCCGCGACTCGCCCACACTGCCCCCGCCACTACAGTTCCGACAGCTGCTTGGTATCACTGACTGACTTAAAACTTAGGAAATCATTCCAATGTTGGTGGAGCTTCTGTGATCGCCCGACTCCTCATGGACATAAAGAAGGTCACAGTGAGCTCCTTTATAACAGCTTTCTTCTGCTTTTGATTTAGTTTTATAGGCAATTTCTCAGAGACAAATTAAGGGGAGAAAGACAGTAAGAACTGGTAAAAGTTCTATAGTTAACTGTTCCCCAAAACAACTATGTAAAGGAACAGTTACCAGGAATATATACTGTGCCACTGCTCTGAAAGGAAGAAGTGTTCTCATCTTTTTAAATCACACAGTAGCGAGTGTGCAAAGCCACCTCACTGTCTGAACTGCCACCCCAGCAAAACATTCACACACACAGTACCCAGTCAATGACCTGTGACCAACGGACGGCCTAGAAAAGAATCGGACATCTGAATTTTCGTACCCATGTAAAAAACTGACAATGATGTGGAAAGATCAAAAAGAGCAAAGAGCAAATCACTAAGCTTCTTACCAGTTCACTAGCGAGAATGAGAACTCCTGAGAGATAATCTTCCACATCCAAGTGAAATCCCTTCTCCCGATCAGGCTCAACTGAAAAATGTGATGTGGTAAAGACAAGGTCAGGATGGAAACATAACTTACACTAAAATTTTTTTTAAATACACACACATATACACATATACACAATTTCTCTCAAAGTAAAAAAAGGAGTCTTTCAAAACTATCTTTTGAATGTGGACATAGCCTTAGCAACAGAACTCACTGTGGAATTTTTGAGCTCTCAAGCAAACTTCAAACTTTCGTCTCATTTTTCTTAAAGTAATACCACCAAGAATGGTATCCTGTTATGCACGAGAATAGCTTTTAGGGTATGCATTGAAACATTTAAGGGAGAAGTCATGGGATCTACACCTGACTTCCAAACAGGTCACACACGCCCCCAGCACACAGTGAGGAGACTACACAGACACGGCAGACTGTGAACAAGCCGAGGATCTAAGTGGGGCAAATGGGTTCGCTGTGCTGTTCCTGCAACTCTTCTGTAGGCTTGAAATGTTTACAAACGGAAAGAAATGCCCAAGTACACAGAGCAGGCCCCGACGTATTTTTAGTTTTCATCTCTCCAAGAAAGAAGCTTTCCACTTAGTTCTCATTTGTTTCCATAAACAGAAATCCCCTCTCACCAAAAATTAAACCGATCGCGTGGATGGACACAACGGAGGACACTCACTGCCAAGGATCTCTGTAACCGCTTCTCGGGTCACGAGGGTTTCGGACTCCAAGTACACAACGAAGGCGGCCAAGAAGACCAGGCGCTGCAGCACAAACCTCCAGTGCTCGTGAAACCTGCAGTGAGCGCGGGGGCAGCGTTAAGAGAGATGCGCACGGGACGGCGGCGGCCAGACACGCGGGGCACGGCGCCCTTCCAAGGGAGACCTATGTGAACCTCCAAAACGTCCAATGTGTTAAGAGCAATGTGACATTTAAGTATTATATACAGAGGGATTTAGTGTAAATTTTGCCAGTCCAAATTTTTAACAATTATTTAATTTTAATATATAAGAAGCATGGTCCAATTCTGATGAATGCAAAAATATACAACCAAATGTTATAGACAAGAGCAGCTGTGCTTTAGAAGTTTAATCAGTGAACAATGTGCTTTAGAAGCTTAATTAGCTCTGAGAAAAATAAATGCTGGCAAATGCAAACTGAGGAGAGCTGCAATGTACATCAGCCTCAGCATCTCAGTCCTACACTCTGAACTGAATGCAGGATATCAAGAAACTCCAGCTTCACACACATGAGAATTACCATCACTAAACAGGTGACCTTAAAACCTTGGGCTACAGTAGTTAAACTGAGCGAGGAGACCGAAAAAGAAAAAAGAAATTTTATAACCCCTAGATGTTTATGCTATGCCTCCTGATTTTCAAATGTGGCAACAAATTCAAAAACATCTTTCAACACAACATAGGTCAAACCAAACATTCTGAGGGCCAGATCAGTCAGAGAGCAGCCCGTATGTGAACTCCAAACTCCATGCTCTCTAAAGAACCTGCCGATTCTACTGTCCTGTTCTCTAAGCGTCAGTTATTAACCTTACGGCAGGGGTCAGCAAACCCTTCCTAAGACTGAGGCTTCATGGGTCACATTCAGTCTCTGTCACATAGTGTTACTTGTTCCTTTTTCTTAGTTAACTCTTTAAAATATAAATATATTTGTAAAAATATAAAAGGTCACAGTAGTTTCCAGCCCCTCTCTCTCAACAATCCTGTGAGGTTACACTCCCCACTCCCCACACAGATGTCCTTAAGTATTTCTTGTCCTAACATATCTTAAAAGAACATTGCCTCTAGTGAGAAAGCAAGTCTAAATAGAAAGTTTAGGTTCCTATTTACCATATTTCACCAACACTCAGTTTTTCCCAGTTTAACACCTGTGAAATCAGGAAGTATTAAACAATCTACATGTTTCATAATTATGATTAATAATAATCTTTTCCCTAATGATACATAACATTGTTTCTTAAAATTAATAGTGTTGTAGGTTCAATGAAATATGGCATAAAATATTAGCTGCATATGTTACTTGGCAGCAAAATTCAATATTCAGTTTACACACATACACTGCCACTTAATCCCATAATCTTAATAGCACAGATATGGTCCATCCAACTTTACAAGTAAGTTCAATAAACTAAAAAAAATTCTCTATTTTGACCTTCACATAATACTTATTTTCCTTTTAATTACCTTCTCATTGCAAAAATTACACATGTTCTTTAAGAAAATTATGAAAGTAAGAGAGAAAAAAAAGTCAGCGATTTTGTCACCATTAAAATACTCCCACTATTAACAGTTCCCTCTCCTCTGTTGTTTCTCCTAAGGAGGACTGTAACCTAAATCTAAGCAATCATTTAGTCCATATAAATTTTTCTCTTGCCTTCTTTTATTTAACCTTATAAAAGATGCTACTTGTCTTACAAACCTGTAATACTGTTCAGCAGGAAACTTGGTCTTCAAAGACGTTAGATGTGTTTTTACTGTACCAAAATGTTCTCGAGCTTTCAAACACCTCTTTGGAACTGATCACAAAAAGATAGTCAAATGAAATAACGAAAGACTTACCAAATTTCAAATACAGTTCTTGCTTAACAATCTATGCAGTCTACCTGGAAATAAATCAATTTTTTAAAATCTCATGAGCAAATGTAGAGCATGCATCTCTGCTATCAATCTGGCCCTCAAAATTTCACATCCAGTTTCCCTACTGAAAAATAAACAACAAAAAATTGCTAAAAGGGGGTATGTCAGGAAACACTGGCAAACTGTTATAAATTAACTAATCTTTAAGCTGCCTTTCCTAGTCAGTCCCCAAAGGATGCCTAAAACTGGATCTTGAAGGCTCCCACAATTGGTCAAAAAGTAGCTTTAGGACTTCTTTGCAAGTTCAGTGGTTAAGACTCTATGCTTCCACTGCAGGGTGCAAGGGTTCAATCCCTGTTTGGGGAACTAAGATTCCACATGCCACATGATGTGGTTGAAAATTTAAAAAAAAAAAAATTTTTTTTAACAGCTTTATAATTATTCTCAATCAGGCTGACCAATTCCCTATCTCTGACAAAAATGACTTGCCCCTGACACCTGTTAGCTACATTATGATACAATTCTTAATCTTAAAACACATTTCACCTCTTTTAACTGTGCTATCTTTTACAATAGAGATTCCATTTCTAAACTTCTTATACTCCATCTCCATTCAAGAGACTGACTGTAAACACTGTGACAACATTTTACACTGGCCATTTTATCTAAAAATACATATTAAATCACATTCAATGACTGAAAGATTGCTGTTAAGAAAAAGAGAAATAAAAGTTGCTAGATACACAAGAGAACTATGGAACTACCACAATTATCATCAGTAGAACTCCACCACTAGAGAAAATATTCCTAATTCAACCTATGTGAGAGCAGAAAATCAAGAAAAATACAGAGAATTCTGTAAACCTATAAAATGATCAACTCACTTATTTCTCCAATTTTACTCACCATAAAAACATGAGGAACAATTTTCATAGTTAAACCTTACAGATTTGATATGTCTTCTGAATGTAAATTAACTCTTTAGATGAAAGACTGACAGAGTGGATAAAACCTTCCAAATCAAAACAAAGAACTTACTGTCCTGAAACCCAGCACCCTGATGGACCCCTTGCAGTAGAGTTAAAATCTCTCGAGCTGTTTGTTCTAAACTCTGTACAACTTTTCGGATTTCCTAGAAAGAATAAGATCAAAATATCAAATAAATTCAACGTAAGTATATTATCATAGCCTCAAACCAAATATACTAGATAATATATTTGATCTATGACACCTTACTTACATTTCAAACACTATCAACCTTTACAATGACATAAATGGTGCATAAGATTTATTCAAAATTGAATTCTGACTTTTCTACCTTCTCTGAGACCTTCAGGAAGTCATTAAAAAACCTGAGATTTCCTCATATAGATTTCAAACGGTAATAGCCACACACTCGCCCCAAATATCCCATTGGAACACTGAAGGAGATGAGGTATTCAGACATAGACCAAAAACAGAAAACGAAACAATACAGGACTGAGTATTTTTCATTCATTCATTTTGCAAATATTCACTGAGCACTTGTATTACTAGGGAACCCTTCTTTCCTGCAGTTTATATAGAGTGTCATGCGGGAGGCGTTTAAAAAATAACGACCGCACAAATTAATGCGCTACAAGAAGTAAACAAAACAGGAAAAAGATCGTTTTGATTGTGAGGTCAAGAAGGTGACCAGAAAAAGAGTGGAAAAGAAACGCATTCCAGGGAAAGCAAGCAGTGCTTGCAAAAGTCCCGAGGCAGGACGCTATTTGGGGAACCGGAGGAATAAAAAGGAGATAGCGTGACCATAGCATACAACAGAAGAAGGAGTAAAATGAGACTGGAGAGACCCGTGGGCCAGAGCTGAGTCTGGATTTTTATCCTACGTGGAATTAGAAGCCATAGAAGAGTTTTAAAGAGAAATGGCCACACGTGCTTTTAGGATACCAACAACCCACACAAGAAACACGTGTTGTCTGAGTCCCACGCGCTGAGGGTTCGACATAAAAATGAACTAAAAATGAGAAAAAACTGACACCCAAATAAGGTAGGTGATGCCGAAGAGCCGAGCCCTGAACACAGGGAACCAGGACCTGGCAGCAGAATCGGGGGCGGGGGCCAAGGAGGTGCCCTAAGCCGAAACGAGAAGCGGAGGAACCCACCCCCGGAGGCTTCCCCACCGCTCGAATCAGAGCGACGGAGGAGGGCCGGGCGTCGCGGCCCAGCTAGGCAAGGAGAGGGGAAAGGGGCATGGGGAGACGGGGGCTCGCCTCTCGGATGTCCTGCTCGGCAGCCAAAAAGCCCTGCAGCTCCACGAAGATCTCGCTCACAGACATGGCGCCGGCCGCACGACCGTCAGCCAGGGCTGCGAGGGTAGCCGGCAGAGTGAGTTCCGGAGACAACCGGCGCCTTCAGTTGCAACGCCCCGCCGCCACAGCCGCTGCGGCTGCGTCCACCGAGCCCTACGCTGAGCCTGTCGCTGGGGTCCTCCCAGGCCCGCGGCGCCCAGGAGGCCGGGCTGTCCGCCGCGACGCCTGAGACGCGGGCCGGAAGGCAGAGCACGGTGGGCGGGGCTCTTCGACAGGCATCGCTGGAAACAACCCGGGAGGGGTCCTCGGAGCACGTGGGCTTGAGAGAGGTGGGGACTTGGGCTGAGAAGTGTGGAACCTTCCTGCTGCTAGCTAGTCGTTTCCTCCGTCAGTATCAAGCTAGGTGTTTGGTCCTAGGAGCTGTGCACGATACCAAAACCTGAGGTCTCTTACATGAAATCGTGTTAAGTTTAGTCGCTCAGTCGCGTCCGACTCTTTGCGACCCCACGGACCGCAGCACATCAGGCTTCCTTGTACATTACCAACTGCCGGAGCTTGCTCAAACGCGTGTCCAGCCAGTCGGTAGTGTCATCCGACCATCATCCTCTCTCACCCACTTCTCCTGGCTTCAATCAGGGTCTTTTCCAGTGAGTCAGTTATTCGCATCAGTTGGCCAAAGTTTTGGAGTTTCAGCTTCAGCATGAGTTCTTCCAATGAATATTCAGGACTCATTTCCTTTAGGATTGATTGGTTTGATATCCTTGCAGTCCAAGGGACTCTCAAGAGTCTTCTCCAACACCACAGTTCAAAAGCATCAGTTCTTCCGCTCTCAGCTTTCTCTTTCCTTATGGGCCAACTCTCACATCCATTCGTGACCACTGGAAAAACCATAGCTTTGACTAGACAGACCTTTGTTGGCAAAGTAATGTCTCTGCTTTTTAATATGCTCTCTAGGTTGGTCATAGCTTTTCTTCCAAAGAGCAAGCATCTTTTAATTTCATGGCTGCAGTCACCATCAGCAGTGATTTTTGGAGCCCAAGAAAATAAAGTCTGTCACTGTTTCCATTGTTTCCCCTATTTGTCATGATGTGATGGGACCAGATGCCATGATCTTTGTTTTTTGAATATTGAGTTTTAAGCCAGCTTTTTCACTCTCATCTGTGACTTTCATCAAGAGGCTCTTTAGCTCCTCTTCACTTTCTGCCATAAGGGTGGTGTCATCTGCTGTATCTGAGGTTACTGAGGTTACTTATAATATCTAATAAAATGTGTTATGTAAATAGCTGTTTATAAATAATATGTAAATAGTTCCCAGTGCACAGAAAACTAAAGTTTTGCTTTTCGTAACTCTAGAATTAAGTATTTTCTCTCTGGGGTTGGTTGAATCTGCCTGTGTGGAACCACAGATTCAGAGGGCTGACTGTACAAGGTGTTTTGTCCTACAGCATTTGGCAGGAAGATGCTTCAGTCCTGAAGGGTATGCAGGTTGCAGTCTTTGGAAAAACATTCATCTCTACAAGAAATACTTGGGAAAAATAAAAGTTATGCAGGACTGGAATAACAGGATGGATTAAGAGTAAAATTTTTCTCTATGTACTTTTTTTTTAAGTTTAACATCTCTGTAGGAGTGTATTGCATTTTTTAAGATTATATGAATTTTTAAGCGTTTCAAATGTGAAGTTTCTCTTCCTCTCAACTAACACCTTCCTCCATCCTCCTTCCTTGAGGCAAGACTTTTTGTCTGACCAAATTCCATACATGTACCCTACAGATTGGAGAAGGAAATGACAACCCACTCCAGTATTCTTCCCTGGAGAATCCCATGAACAGATGAGCTTGGCGGGCTACGGTCCATGTGGTTGCAAAGAGTCACACAACATGACTTAGCAACTAAACAACAACCCTACAGATATTTGTGTGTAGGATGCACTCCAAATGAATTAAAATGATTACTTACATCAACTAAATGATAACTTATTGTTTGCTTTGTCCCAGATGTTATTCTAAAACTTTACATGAAGGACCATATTTTATCTTCATTATACTTATGCAAATTTGATACTATTTTTATCATAAATGATAAGATAGTTGAGAGGGGTGGAGGAGGGGCAAATATAGAAAGGATTAAGAGTTACAAACTACAAGGTATAAAATAGATAAGTTAATGGACATAATGTACAGCACAGCAAATAAGCCAATATTTTATAATAATTTTATATGGATGATATCTATAAAATTACCAAATTACTAAATTATACACCTACAATTAATAAGTCAACTATACTTCAATAAAAAAGAAAAACTGAAAGTCAAAATTTAAGAAATAAGATCATTCTTTTGATAAGTCCTATTTTTAAAATTCTGGACATATTTTGTCAAATCAGTTTTCAAAGACATTGAACTAATTTCCATTCCCCTGCCCACCAGGGCCAGTCTGCCTGCACTCTCCCCGTGAATATTAACACTGCAGACATTCGGGGCTAATTTAAGGGTGAAATTATACCTCTTTTAATAGTATTGAGGACAGTGTGATGGGTGGTGCACGCCTGCAAGGTTCTTTGAAGGGCAAGAGAGGTCAGAAAGAGAAACGTGGTTGGGAGCTGTGGCCTGCAGTCTGAGACCAGGAGAAAAGGTTAGGGAGTCAGTGGAGAGAGAGAAAAAGGAGATGGGCCTGGGGCTGTGTACCCATGAGGATTTGGGGTTTTTTCTGATTTTATTTCTTTATTTTTGGCTGTGATGCAAGAGCTTGTTTTCTAGTTGCAAAGAGCAGGGGCTACTTTTTGTTGCAGTGTGTGGGCCTCTCAGTATAGTGGCTTCTCTGTGGAGCACAGGCCCCAGGGCATGCAGGCTTTAGCAGTTGCTGCCAGAGGGCTCAGTAGGTGCTGTTCCTGGGCTCTAGGGCACAGGCTCAACAGTTGTGGCACCCGGACTTAGCTGCTCTGTGGCATGTGAGATCTGCCCAGACCGGGGATTGAACCCACGTCTCCTGCACTGGCGGGCAGATTCTTTACCACTGAGCCACCACGGAAGCCCCCATGAGGTTTTAATTTACAGAGGTGACATAGTGACAACTGGAAAGGCCAGTGCCACTGAAAGAAGAATTTATTACTTACATCTGCTGAGAGGACAGGGCCCAGCATGCCATGCAGGGCCACGTGGGGAAGCACCAGGTTTACTCAGGAGGCAGAAGCAGGAGCCTGTGTCTGTGAGTACTCTGAATGCTTCTGGTGGGCTTCTGACTATAGGAGTGGTCTCAGGCCACCTCACAGCTGGCCCTGGCATGACTTAGCACAGGGAGCCAATGCCGGCTGTGTGCGCGAGAGCCAGGTAAGGAGACGCTGCAGGCTGAGCCTTTGGTAGCCCTGGAGCAGCAGTCCCTCTGCAGCCAGCTGGCTTTTTGTCTTTTTCTTTTAATTTATTTTGCAATCAAATATAGTTGATTTACCATCTTGTGTTAGTTTCTGGGACACAGCAAAGTGACTCGGTTACATAAATATTCTTTTTCATATTTTTTTTTGCCATTATGGTTTATCAGAGGATATTAAATATAGTTCCCTGTGCTAAACAGTAGGACTTTGTTGTCTGTCCATTCTATATATAATAGTTTGCATCTGCTAATCCCAAATGCCAGCAAGCTTGTTAAGGTGTCAAAACAGAAATACAGAAAATACAAACATAATTAATACAGGCCAGGAAGGGGGCACCAGGATTTGGACTACGGGCCCTTCAGGACCCAGGACACCAGAGCCCACATCCCTCACTGAAGGGCTGGAAAGGATCCTGGGATGAAGGAGGGCATTGGTGAGTCAGCCCAGTGGTTTTCCCAGGGAATCTGGACCCTCTGGGCAGCACCCACTCTCCAGGCTCACCAGCCCTATCCCCCAGAGGCCCACCCAGCTTCCCCAGGGTCACTGCCACACTTGGTATCTGGATTTGGGGCCTGTGCAGGACATTAACCACAGCACAGGGCAGGGTGTGCCCCAGGTGCCAGACATCCACAGGACAGAGGAAGAAAATTTCCCTTCCAGCTTCAGGTCATGGGGCCCTAAGTGGTCTGCAGAATGAATTTTTAGCTTGTCAGGTGACATGCATTGAGGCTGCACAGTTGAAGCTGGTGACACAGATGAGGATCGCTCCCCACTTCTTCCCCTAAAACCATGCCTTTCACTCCTACATGAGAAGCCCTGTAACTGAGCAAGGGGCAGTCAGGCAGGGCCAAGGGTGGGGCGGGGGCGTCTGCCCTCTTTAGTGGCAGCAGCTGGGCTCTCATCCCGAGGGTGACATGTTGGATGACCCCACAGGGATCAGGCAGAGAGATGGAAGGAGGGGAGAACAGGGGAAGAGGAAGGTGGGCAGAGCTGGGCAGGCACCTCGGACCTTGTCGGTGCCCACCTGGTCTCCTCTCCTCCAGCCCCCAGCCCCACCCCACAGAGCCCACTCCTCCCAGGGCCCAGCTCCCCAGACACTCAGCACATCCCGCCTTGCCCTGCAGGTGGTCCCCGTCTGCCATCCACCCCCCCAACCCCCAACCCCCACCCCCTGCCATCAAATCCCAGCAAGCAGCCCTCATTGTGCTCGGCCCCCAGCCTGCAGGTGGTGATGGTGGCACCATGGGGAAGACGTGCCCCTTTTCTACCCCAAGAGAGGGGCGGCATGGGAAGACGGGGGGAGAAAGATGGGGGAGAACCACAGTGAGCCCACTCAACTGACCACTCGGTCTGGGGAAGTGCCTGGGAAGCATTTGTTACACGTTGTTAAGTGACTGGGTTGGGGTGGCGCTGGCAATGAGTGCTGGGGACAGGTGCCAAGGCAGTGTGTATGGGCCAGTCCAACTCAGTGAGAACCATTTCACCCAAGTAGCCTCCCCATTCTACATGCAAATCCGGAGGAAGGAAGAGAGGGAGGAAAACAGGGAAAGAAGTGAAGAAGGACAGAAGGAAGGAAGAGACAGATACAGGCAGCCCAAGTCTATCACCTGGGCATGCGGAACCAGCTGCCATTCTGATCATTAGTACTGTTGCTGCTGCCACTAAACAGTATAGACTCCCCCAATCCACCCAGGAACCTTAACAATCATCTCACCCAAAATCTTACTTATGGCTGAGAAAACAGGCACCACCTGAAAGGAGGAGGATTTTCCCCCAGGCACATGGCCAAGGGTCTAGTGGGTTTCTGGATTCTCTGACCAGAAGAGCACAACTCCTACAATCCCTGGGCTCCACACAGCAAAGGCAGAGAATGAGATGGTCCCGGCAGGGCCAGAGCATCCGTTGTTGAAGGCGCTGTGGCTGACTCAAGGTCCGAAAGGGGAAAATGAAGGAGGTCTGGGATGCAGTGAGGATTCAAGGGCTGAGTCTCTGTCCCCAGTTAAGGGCAGACTTCTATGGTCAGGTGAAGGCCAAGGGGAGGGTGTCCTGGTAGCTTTCTGTGAACATCCAAGAGTTCCTCCACTACCTGGCCATCAGGTGTCAAGTCAGGCCCAAGATTAATTAAAGTGTTTTCCCTAGAACATCATTCCAGGCTGCACCAAAGTGGTAACTGTATTCGTTTCCTAAGGCTGCCATTACAAATGCCAGCCACAGACTGGGTGGCTGGAAAAAAACAGAAATGTCTTCTCCCACAGTTCTAGAGGCTAGAAATCCAAGTCCCAGATTTTGGCAGGGCCATTCTCTCGAAGACTCTAGGGAAGAACAGTCCCTTACCTCTTCCAGCAATTCCTGGTGTTCCTCAGTTTATGACACCTCTCCAATCTCTGCCTCCGTCATCACGTGGCATTCTCCGTGTGTGTGTGTGTGTGTGTGTGTGTGTGTACAAATTTCCTTCTTATAAGAACATTAATCGTTGGATTAGGGCCCACCCTATTCCATAACAACCTCATCTGCAAGTGACTACATCAGCAAAGATCCTGTCTGCATCACAGGTGTTGAGGTGAAGACTTGAACATTATCTTTTGAGGGGACAGCAATTCAACCCAGTTCAGTGATCAGTTCCCCGTATCTCTACTCCTGATAATCAAAGTGTAACCCACGGAGCATCAGCCTCACCTGGGAGCTTGTTGCAAACACAGAAGCTGAGGCCCTGCCCCCACCTAGGAATCAGAATTGGCAATCCACATGCTCACTCAATTTTGATAAGACTTGGGTCACCACGTGATCCTTTGGAGGCCAGGGATTCCTGGAGCGGGTTGGGGAAAACTGAGAGGGGATCTCCGAGAATAAAAGCATCAGTTTGCCGTCTTCCCGTCTCTGCTCCTCCCTTTCCCTACCCATAGGAATTAGAGATAAGTCAGGAATAGAGGGGGCTGTTCACACACACACACGGAAGGGACCCTCAGGGAACCACAGAACTTGCTCTGTATCCTACCTAGATCAGTATCTGACTCATACATCAACTATCTAATTTTGAGAACAGCCAAGAGGCCAGCCCTGCAACAATGCAAGGAGTAAAAACCATCTCCTATAGGTAACACAAGATGACGCCCTTGCTAAAGCATCAGATCAGCTTAGAAACTCCCTCCCAAGGGGAGCCCCTGGACACAGAGCTGACCTCGGCAGCTAGAACCACTGTCAGGCAGGATATCGAAATATCGAGCAGCAAGGCGAATGAGCACCTCCAAACGGAGGCAACCCTGAAGGTGCCAAACGACACCTGCCAGTCGAGCCCTTTGGCCGCGCTGCGCCACGCCCTACGCCTCGCCCCCGCGCTACGCCGTCGCCCAGGCTCCGCCCCCGCGCCGTCGCCCAGGCTCCGCCCCGGAGCCGTGCCGCAGGCCCCGCCCTCCCTTCCGGTTTGGGGAAGCAGAGGGTCTGGCGTTTCCGGGTGTACCGCGTGGGTCTCGTCAGCGTACGAGCGGCGGGATGGCGGCGTTCGATGGCCCGGCAAAGCCGCTCCTGTCCCTAAACCCGCAGGAGGATGCCAAATTTAAAAAGGAGGTGGCGCAGGTTCGTCGGCGTGCGACCAAGGTGAGCGTCGGCGCGGACCCGACCGCGAGGGGAGGTGGCGGACCGGGTCTGGGGGTCGTGCCCGCGCGCCTCGGCCTCACCACGCCTGTGCTTCGTCTGGCGTCACCCAGGTCCGTCCCCGACCTCAAGAGCTTGCCGGCCGAGGTTTCCTCGGGAGGACCGAGAAGTGACGGCTTTGGGCCGTGGGCTTTAGGGTCCTTATGGAGGTAAGGTAAGGAGTGGGTATCGCGGGGATGCTCGGAGAGAGGACAGCCAGCTGTTGGGTCGGTCCTCGTCCCGCGCGTATCAGCTCCAGCCCTACTTCGGCTGGGCCCCCAAACTGGGGAGGTTTGTTTGCCTGGTTAGTGGTTTTGGAATTCTTAAAAGACAGTATTACCCAAGCTCTGTCTGCTGTTTGGGGGCCCTGATATTAAGTTCAATAATATTTGCCCAAGATTTTATCACAAAATGTACATGGGAAAGCTTAAAAGTCTATTACCGAAGACAGGGGTTCGAGAGCAGGGATACTGAAAGGTTAGGAGGCTTCCCGAAGGTTTACTGACGCCTTAAAATTGTTTCTTTACTTGGGTGCGAGTAAACGGTGATCTGCAAACAATATTGAAGGGTATGTTTGTGTAGAGTTCTTAGGCCAGAAGATTTTATCTGTTAATTCAGCGTGTAGTTACTGAGTATTCGTGCTGGGAGAAGGAAGCTGAGAAGACAGGCTACTGCTTGGCGATTGTCCTCGTGGAGACAGCCACTTTTTTTTTTTAATTTCATTGAAGTATAGTTGATTTACAGTGTTGTGTTAATCTCTCCTGGGGTGTTGAATATAGTTCCCTGTGCTATATAGTAGGACCTTGCTCTTTATCCATTTTCTATATTATAGTTTGCATCTGCTAACCCCAAACTCCCAATCCCCTTCCCCCACCCCGCTACCCCTTGACAACCATAAGTCTCTTCACTATATCCAAACAGCTAATTTTTTATAGTCTTTGTTGTGGTAAGTGGAAACACAGGGTAGGTTCTTGATCTCTTGTCTTAATCTAAGAGCAGAGTTTCACAAGTTTTGTTGCAGTGTGATTTTTTTTTTTAATGAAAAAAAGACATATATATCTATTTGCCTGGTCTTTATGTTTTCAGCAACAGAAGAAACGAAAACTTACTCCTGGAGTAATCTATGTGGGCCACTTACCACCATCCCTTTATGAAACCCAGATCCGAGCATATTTTTCCCAATTTGGCACTGTTACAAGATTGAGACTGTCCAGGAGTATAAAGGTAAGATTTTTGTATTGAATTAGGTTGTTTTATTTTCCAAAAGCATACCATCCTTGACAAGTTTTGGAGCATGTTTGCGTGTTACCGCTTATCACACGTCATTCCAGAAAGTGATTGGATAAGGTCTAGAACCTGAAGCACACGGAGAACAAAATTGGTATTCCTGTGAATGTGTATTTTACTTTTTTAAGGTAATTGCCTCAAGTCCTCAAATTAAATTGGCAATCCTAGTGAGTGCTTTTTATCCTATAACTACTAAGCCAGGGGTTCATGAACTTAAGTGTGAGGCTGGACTCTACACCTTATTGGTTGTGTGACTTTGGGCAATTCTATAACCTGCATGCTTGTTTTCTGATTTGTGAAATATGAGCAAAATTGCACCAACCTCAGGAGTATTGAATCAAAGCTTAAATGAGGAAATGAGCATAAGAGTCTTAGAACAGTGCCTGATACACAAAGCACTGTACAGATGTCACTGTGTCATACCTGCCTCCTAATAAAGGTTTGTGTGGTTTATTTCAGTAATAGGGTGTGGCCCGCTTAATTTTTTCCCCACACACACATACTTCTGTTGGTTATAACCACAGAATTCTTGTTATTGGAATCTTTTTCCTGATACAGTTTTTTCACGTTTTCCCACTTCAGTTACAGCGGAACAGAGTTAACTGCCTGTTGTCCCCGCTCTGTTGTCACTGCCTGAATGTGCCACGGTTTGTTATCCTCCCTCTTGTTGAACGTTAGCTTTTCTCCAGTCTTGTCAGTGAAACTGCTGGTAACATTCTTTGTGCAGGTATAGGTGACTTTCTCTCGAATAGTATTTTTCAGACCTTGAATCCACAATAAGAAGTCAGTTTTACAGCACAAGCCAGCACACCTGGACCTTTACGTAAACATTAACTGAAATAAAAGTCTAGGAAGATGATACTTAACTTTCCCATTCAGTTTATTTAAAAATACTTTTCTGACATACTAAATTGATTCTGCTGCCCTCTAAAAGGGCAGCTTTTAAACTTTTCAAACTCTGAGTTTGAAAAATATCACTTTATAGCATATCCTCAGGATGAGTATAGAATGCTCTGCCTCATTCTTTGTGAGATTCAGTCAGTTCAGTCGCTCAGTCGTGTCCTACTTTTGTCGACCCCGTGAATCGCAGCACGCCAGGCCTCCCTGTCTATCAACAACTCCCAGAGTCCACCCAGACCCATGTCCATTGAGTCGGTGATGCCATCCAACCATTTCATCCTCTGTCGTCCCCTTCTCTTCCTGCCCTCAATCTTTCTCAGCATCAGGGTCTTTTCAAATGAGTCAGCTCTTCGCGTCAGGTAGCCAAAGTATTGGAGTTTCAGCTTCAACACAGTGCTTCCAATGAATATTCAGGACTCATTTCCTTTAGGATGGACTGGTTGGATCTCCTTGCAGTCCAAGGGACTCTCAAGAATCTTCTTCAGCAACACAGTTGAAAAGCATCAATTCTTCTGCACTCAGCTTTCTTTATGGTCCAACTCTCACATCCATACATGACCACTGGAAAAACCATAGCCTTGACAAGACGGACCTTTGTTGTTGTCTTTGTTGACAAAGTAATGTCTCTGCTTTTCAATATGCTGTCTAGGTTGGTCATAACTTTCCTTCCAAGGAGTAAGGGTCTTTTAATTTCTTGGCTGCAATCACTATCTGCGGTGATTTTGGAGCCCAAAAAATAAAGTCAGCCACTGTTTCCCCATCTGTTTGCTTGAAGTGATGGGACTGGATGCCATGATCTTAGTTTTCTGAATGTTGAGCTTTAAGCCAACTTTTTCACTCTCCTCTTTCACTTTCATCAAGAGGCTCTTTAGTTCTTTACTTTCTGCCATAAAGGTGGTGTCATCTGCATATCTGAGGTTATTGATATTTCTCCTGGCAATCTTGATTCCAGCTTGTGCCTCTTCCAGCCCTGCATTTCTCATGATATATTCTGCATAGAAGTTAAATAAGCAGGGTGACAATACACAGCCTTGACATACTCCTTTTGCTATTTGGAACCAGTCTGTTGTTCCATGTCCAGTTCTAACTGTTGCTTCCTGACCTGCATACAGCTTTCTCAAGAGGCAGGTCAGGTGGTCTGGTATTCCCATCTCTTTCATAATTTTCCACAGTTTATTGTGACTCACACAGTCAAAGGCTTTGGCATAGACAGTAAAGCAGAAATAAATGTTTTTCTGAACTCTCTTGCTTTTTTGATGTTCCATTGGATGTTGGCAGTTTGATCTCTGGTTCCTCTGCCTTTTCTAAAACCAGCTTGAACATTTGGAAGTTCACGGTTCACATATTGCTGAAGCCTAGCTTGGAGAATTTTGAGCATTACTTTACTAACGTGTGAGATGAGTGCAGTAGTGAGATTGAGTATCAAAGACTTTTTTTCTGCCTTTTGTGGATTGTTATTTTGGGTGTTTTTCCATAATGAAGTGCAATTGTGTTCACCAGCTTTGTGTTCTGAAAATGTTGACAGGAAGTAGAAAGGAAAGCAAAATGAGCATCCTCCCCTGATTCACTCATCGTTAATATCCTGACACATTAGCTTCATCTCTTCCCATGTCTATAAAAACATACATACCTTTTTAGGTTTTTTAGCCTTTTGAAGAAAGTGGCAGTTGTAATACTTCAATACTAAGTACGTCGTGGTAAATCTGAGAATCGGGACAGTGTGCTACATCATCACAATGTGATGATCTCGTGGACTGTCCCTTTTCATGCATCCCCAGTAGTCCCTGCCATTCTGGGAGCTAGTTAGGGTTTGTGCCTTGCACTTGGTTGTTTAGCTCTTCATCCTGTGTAGAACAGTCTCTCTATCCCTGTTTTGCTTGTTTGGTTTTTCTTGACATTGGCTCCTTTGAAGAGGTGAGGCTTGTTTTCTTAGAAAGTCTGCACCTTGATGCAGTGCACTGAAATGTAACATTTCCAGCTTTGTTGCATATTGTAAAGCTACTGCCTCCCCTCCCACCCCAGTTTTGACTGTCTGCTTGGTATTTCTAACTTTTTGGATTACTAGGTCAAGGTTTTGGCTTTTGAGTCTTTGGTTTTGGGGACACTTGACATGTATTTTCACATCAGATTTCACAAGCTTTATTATAGTGTCTTACACTCCACCATCGTTCCCCTCCCGAGTGAGAGCTGGGATGGTAGGAGGATTGTCAGACATTTAAAGTTCTACCAGAATTGTCCTCTTGCAGGTAACTAAGACGAGACTCTGGGTGGTGGCTGTGTCCTGGCAGTTAGTCACCAGCACGGCTAGGAGTCATCCTCCTGGCTCCCAACTCTGGTGAGCCACACAGCCTTTGAATGGTTTCTTATTTCCAGGATCACATGGCCAGCTTTGAGCCATGTCCGAGAATAGTTTGTTTAATGCAAGATTGTAAAGTTTTCCTAGTTATCACTAAGAATTGGAACTGTAGAGGAGGAAAGGTTCTTTTTCTGCTGCCCTAGGCTGAGACCCTATAAATTGGACTGAAAAACTGAGAGATTAAAAAGAGACTAAAATGTATGCTTCCTCATGGGAGTGCTCAAAGGGTTGTTAGAGAACTTTGAGGAGTGACTGGATGAGGGAACAGTGCTTTGAGTTTATATGGTTGCAAGTTGCAGGGAGGCAAATGTACAGGAGGCTGACAGAATCCTAAAGTCCAAATGCCCAGGTTTGGATCTTGGTTATAACATCTGCTTAGTAAAATTTGTTGTGTGGATTCCTCTAAGATCTCTCTGATAGACGGGAGAGGACACCTTTGTAAATTTGTGTCCTGTTTTTAGGTAAATAGGGGGATCACAGAGTTTCTGGTTCTATTTCTCAGTACCTTCAGCTTAGAATAATTACTTGCCAAAGGAGCATTTGGGGGGTAGGCATACCCTGCCACCCTAAAGTAACATGTATTGAGTACTTGACAAAAGTGTGGAGCCCTTGTAGGTTATTTTGTGTTTTCATGGCAACTCTATGAGAGTGTTTATTTTATCCTCATTTTATAGAAGGAAAAACTGAGGCTTAAACATTCCTTATCTGAGTGTCAGAGCTAAGGCCCAAACCTGGGCATTTGGACCTGAGAACCCCTGTTGGCAAGCTCATTGAGCTTCGGTGTGGGGCCAGAACCCAGCAGCTGTGTCTCTGAGAGTGGTCCCCGGGCCTGTGCCCACAGCTGTGGGGATGGCCAGTCACCGGTAAGCACGGCAGTCAATGCGGTGTTTGACTGATGGGCCGGGAGACACCGACTTAATTCCTTCTCAGTTTTTCCATGCAAATGGGAGTTGCATCACCTGTATTTTTTGTGACGCATTTATTCCGTCTCCCAAGTAGGTGGATGATGTGACCACCCGTGAGATCAGTGAGTAAAGGACTGTGGGGCCTGCCAGCTTCCTTTATGTCGGCCGTTGCTACCGAATCAACTCCAGCTATAATCATTTATCACATGTAATCAAAATCCCAGGAAATCTTCAAAACCAGTGGCAAATTTAGACTGTTTTGGATCTTTTCTTTCCCTGTAACAGTCTGCACACTATGTGATTTGAAGTTGAAAATCAAAGGTGTCTTAATGTTACTCCTTAATGCTGTTCCTCATGGGAATTCCCTGGTAGCTCAGTCGGTATCTGCCTGCAGTGCAGGACACCCACATTCAATCCCTGGATCCGGAAGACCCCCTGAAAAAGGAAATGGCAACCCACTCTAGTATTCTTGCCTGGAAAATCCCATGAACAGAGGAGCCTGGCAGGCTACAGTCCATGGTGTGGCAGGAGTCGGCCACAGCTACTGTACATTATTTAATGACATTTCAGGAGTTTGATGGCGCATTAGAATATAATTGTTCTGCTTTTCGTGGTGGATTTGTCATTGCAGACTGGAAATAGCAAAGGCTACGGCTTTGTGGAGTTTGAATCTGAAGATGTTGCCAAAATAGCTGCTGAAACAATGAACAACTACCTTTTTGGTGAAAGACTCTTGAAGTGTAAGTACCCGATTCTTAGCCTGTGGGATTTCAGGGATGCCCCTGCTAACGGTGGCTGCGGTGGGAGGTTGCTTAGCTGCTTGGACGTCCCACCTCATCCCTGGGATGAATCTCCTAAGCAGTGGTGCAACAGTTAAAGTGCAATTTCAAGATAGGTTTGAACTGAAATTTTAAGATTTCTGGAGTGAAAGCTGTTTTCTGCTGAGATGGAGTTGGAACAGTTTCCTTGAGGAGTAAATAGGAAGGTCTTACTGGTGGAGTTTGGGAGGCTCCCTGAGGAAAAGTCATTAAAGTTGGAACCTGAAGATTAAATAACAGCCAGGTGAAGGGGTGGAACTGAGAATTTGGTGGGGGGACAGCAAATGCCAAACCAGTGACAAACGTAATTGCCTGCAAGGAGAATAGTGAGAGATGAGGGAGGAGAAATAGATGAATGAAGGTCAGGTTACCAGAAGCCATGTGAAGCACAGTTTAGAATACATGCCGAGGACAGCAGAACCCACTAATGGTCCTAGACAGGGTGATGTTCAGGGTGAGGAGTCACATGTCAGCCAGTCTTGATGGCCTTGGCTGCAGCTCCTCTGCAGAGAATCCATCGGGAGTGCAAGGGAGACAGGAGCAGATTAGAGGTTCATCCTGCAGGAGGTGGAGCTCCCACCGACCCACCTTCCCAGAGCAGCCCATCCGGAGCCAGCACCCAGGTCACACCTCTCCATCTTAGTTCCTGTTCCTGTGAGAGAGGGTCCCAGGAGCCGCCTGAGATCCTGGGTGTTATTTGCACATGAAGAATGTGGCTCTTGCCAGGACGAAGTGGGTGATTGGGTGACCACATGTATGAAATCCCTGCTGTGCTCTACCTGACTTCTGAAGGATGGCACAGACAGTTCTGAACTCCTGACATGAGGGTTTAGCCACATCCTGCCTTTTCTCTTTTTTTCAGGGGAGTAGTTTGTCTCGGAGGTGATCCCAGGGAAATACTTGTAAGGAGTGGAGATTTGACAGGAAGGGAGTCAGTAAAGGGTATGTTAGCAAGTCGGTTATTTAGGCCTTTGGGCTCCTTCCTGCTGGTCACCTTGGGAAACAGAATTATCCCAGCTGACAAGCACAGAAACTGGGATATTTGTGTACCATCTATCACTAATGGAGGGTAGACCCCAGAGATTTTGGCTTCCCTGCACAAGGGCCCCAGTGTGCATCCCTAAGCAGAGACATACAGATAAGCAGTGAGCTGCCTTAGTCCTGGGCAGGTGCCTGGAGGATATGAGCCAGAAGGTAAGAGCTTCTGTTGTCGTGAGTCACACAGTCTAAAAGTGGGGGTCCTTTTAGCTTCGGGGACCCTAAGACTTAATTTCCACACTCTCCTCTATGCACTCGCCTTGTTCACTCATGTGTCTCTAGTCCTGGGATCATTCTTGGCACACAGCGCATGTTCGGTAGATAATTGAGGGCTGTCTGACTTTGCCTTGGTTACCTGCTTTATTCTTTCAGGCTTCTCCATGTAAATGGAGGACACATCAATTTGATTATGCTACAAGGGACACAAGGGAGAGTCTGAAGTTCTCATGAAAATCCTTTCCCTCCTACTTGGTTGAAAACTGTTTGTTTTCTTTTTTTAATTGTAGGTCATTTTATACCACCTGAAAAGGTACATGAAGAACTTTTTAGAGAGTGGCATATGCCATTTAAAAGGCCATCATATCCAGCAGTGAAACGGTACAATCAGAATCGGTCACTTGTTCAAAAGCTACGGATGGAGGAGCGGTTTAAAAAGAAGGAAAAATTACTCAGGAAGAGATTGGCTAAAAAGGGGATTGATTATGATTTCCCTTCATTGGTGAGTATTCCTTTGTATAAAATGTCTAACCCAGTATCTCCCCCTACGAGGTTTTGACTATATTTTTGAAATTGCAATCATTGTAGGCTTGTCTCTGTAGGTTTGTGAAGCAGCCCTAGTATTTCCTGCCACACACAGGGGAGGAGATCCTGAAAGGGATGAGCCAATTTGCAACATGTACCTGATTTAGTAGTTTCAGATGATTGAAGCAAAACCTGTCTGACCAAAAACTATAATGCTTGTAGATTACTAGTAAAGGTGTCATTGCCAGGATTAAATGTTTGGTTTATTGTATGTTACTGGTAAATACCAAGACTGTAAAATGACCATCCTTTTTATGCCATTTTAGTTAAAATTTTGTTTCATGGTGCTTTTAAGTTGGAAATAGTCCTAAAAGTCTTTGTCAAAATTAACTAGTTAGCATATGTATAATGATCTACTAAGTTTTAAAATATACATGTGTGAGACTGCTAGTTTTACAACTTCTTTTTCTGTTACTTCTTTATACTTATTTAGGTTAAGGTGTTACATAAAACTGAGGAAAATGCTTCAAACACTGGTCCTCGAAACTCCAGAAAGTACCAGGTAATACTTTTGCTTATCATATTACCCACTTGATATTAGAGAAAAATAAATGCGGAAATACATTCAGGACTACTATATTTGGTCCACACGCAGATTGATGTAGTCTCTTACAATCTATTGAAGGCTTTGCGTAAGAAGAAGGCCGCTTCAGTCGCCGCCGAGACTCCCGAGAAGGCTGTGGATAGCCGGGTGAGGTGGTCTCAGTGCCCCGGGAGGCCGGTGGTGCGGGCTAAAGGGGGAGGGGCAGCTGCTGCTCCTGTCACTTTGCTTGCTTAACCTTGGGACAAAGGTGATAAGCACCTAAGCGCTTGATCATGTGCAGCTGTGATAATAATCGTAACTTACAAAAATAGAGGAGAGGTGGTGGGAGAGGGTCATCCTAATATCTTCCCACGTTTATGTATTATAATCTTTCACTTGAACCCAGGGTCCCACACCAGTGTGTACACCAACATTTTTGGAGAAACGAAAATCTGAAGTGGCCAAACTGAATGATCATGCTAAAGATAATGAAATAGTTTTCAAACAGCCCGTATCTGGTGCCAAAGAAGAAACACAGGAGACTCAACCACCTACAAGTTCAAAGAAAAAAAGACGGAGAAAACACAATCAGTGATTTTTTTAATGTATTGTGTATAGTTCTTCTGAAAAGATGATTTTCTTATGAAGACTAATTCTTTATATTTAACTAGATATAGTGGAATGCAACCAGTAACAAGATGGTTGGGGAAAAACTGTCAATTCAAGTCACCGAGGAAAACAGTCAAGTGATCCTGGCTTCCCTGCCCTTGCTGAAATGCAGGGGTGCACGCCAGCTTACAGCAGCCAGGCTCCTGCTGCCTCTTGTCCTGTCTCTAGTTTTCTTTGCAGTTTTCACAGCTGCTTTTAGTCACTCTGCCTGGAGAGAAGATCACTATTAACTGCTGACCTAAGTACTAAACTGTAGCCTCTGTTGTTACCATCAAATAAATAAAATCTTGCTTGACCATCAGAATAGTTCTCTGTTAGACCAAGCACATTTAAGCCGTCAGATGGCTGAAACTAGAAGTCAGATTCTGTGGGGAGTGAGAAGGAGGTATCAGTACTAATAGAGACTCATGTATATACGATCATTTTTACCAATGTTAAATTAGTTTGTGGTGGGCTGCCATGGATTAATTAATAACTACCATCTTATATCAGTATCATCAATCAGGAATTTGGTTTCAAGATTCATGTAGTTACCACCAGATAAACTTTTTCTGTTTTTTTTTGTATGCAAGAGCAATTTGGATATCTTGAAATAAAAAAATGTTGGGTTTGCCTTTCAATGATCTTTTGAGGTTTTGATACATTTGAAATGTGTCAGCCAATTGAAGTGAAGTAAAAGTCTCTGAGTCATGCCCGACTCTTTGCGACCCCGGGGACTAATACAATACAGTCCATGGACTTCTCCAGGACAGAATACTGGAGCAGGTGGCCTTTCCCTTCTCCAGGAGATCTTCCCAACCCAGGGATTGAACCCAGGTCTCCTGCACTGCAGGTGGATTCATTACCAGCTGAGCCGCAAGGGATCAGCTAATTCCGTTTCATTAAAAGGATTCATTACCAACAAACATTTTTATATAATATTTGTTAAATGTGATGATGATTATACTGACCTGGTTGAATCAGCTTTAATACACAGCATAGGACTTTCCTAATGGTCCCGTGGTTAAGAATTTGCCAGTCAATGCAAGGGACACAGGTTCAATCCCTGGCCCCAAGATTACATGCCACAGAGCAACTAAACCTGTGCACCTAGAGCCCATTGTCCGCAACAAGAAAAGCCACTGCCTGTGCCCCGCGACTTGAGAGCAGCCTGTGTTCACTGCAACTAGAGAAAGCCCACAAGTACCAGCAAAGCCACAGCACACCCAGAAAATAAGCATCAGATGAGCCCATCAGTGCAGCCTGACAGATTTTTATTTCCCTGTTTCCTGACCTGCTGCCCAGACACCTTCCAGCATGGTACCGATCATCATCACTTGATGTGTGAGTTTTTGATGTACCCTGGAGCTGGATGGGCAGAGTGATTTTTAGCATATATCATGGCAAAGAAATAGAGTTAACATTTTCCTGGGGGCTATATTAGGAGCATTTGTCAAAGTAGTGTGGGGTTGATCCTCAGATTTTGTAGGGAGAAAGTGAAGAATCGAAGTTGTAACGGTGGCTGGTGGATCATGGGTCTGTCTCCCTGCAGTGAGGCAGAGGCTGTTCAAACACGGACAGGCAGGCACAGCAGGGCGTCAGGGCCCCGGGCGGTGGCTGTGATGCCCGCGACTGCTCTCCTTGCCCACAAGTGTGATGAGTGCATGCAAGTAATGTGCGTCCTACAGGCAGAGAAAACTACAAGGCCCAAACCTAACTACATCACGGGTCATCCTGTGGCCCTCAAAGTGACCAGTTATCCTGCTGTCCAATCCAAACCGCTTCAGGGTTTTGTTTTACATTTTTAAATAGTTGAAAATAATCGAGACGTGAGTTTCAGGAAGTTCCCTGGTAGGGATCCTGCAAGCTGCCCACGCAGCAAAAAAAAAAAACAGTTAAGAGTGGGGAAAGATAATTTGGAAGTTTGGGATTAACATATACACCACTGCATATGAAACAACCAACAAGAACCTTTTGTATAGCACAGGAAGCTGTACTCAAATATCTTGTAATAACCCATAATGGAAAATAATCTGAAAATAAATATACATGTGAACTGAATCACTCTGCTGTATACCTGAGACTAACAACTTTGTAAATCAGCTATACCTCCATTTTTTAAAAAAGGAGATGCTATAGCCTTGGTGTAAATACTTGCAAAGGACTTTTTATCCAGAACAGACCTCTCAAAAACAAGCAGCGTGAATTGTCTATGGAACCCAATTTCTGCCTTCTGATCATAAAATGGGAAGTAACACAAGCCGTTTCCTTTTTTCCAGCTCTGTGGCAGCTTAGTTCCCTGACCAGGGGTTGGACTCGGCTACTGCAGTGAAAATGCTGAGTCCTAAGCACTGGGCCTCCAGGGCATTCCCCAGACTATTTTCAATACTTGTATTTCCATTAAGGACTCAGGCATGATAGATGTGTGATGATAATGAACATTTATTAAATCCTTGCATGTGTATTAGCGCGTTTAATCAGGACAACCTATGAAGTTAGACACTTCTGTTCCTGTCTGAATGATGAGGGGACTGAAGCCCAGAGAGGTTAAAGAACTTGCCCAGAAATAGCATATGGTGGAGCCAATTCAGCTGACTCCTTTTGACGTCCTTCCAACAAGATGGGCATGAAAGCTAGATTGTTAGTGACAGTGGAAAAAAGGAAAGACGCAAAAGCCTTGTGCTGACATAAGCTGGTGACTCTGGAAGGGAGGCAGAAGTGGGGCACTGGGGTAGGCGCGGGAGGAGGCGGAAAGTTCCCTTCCTGGGAGCTCAGTTTTGTCAGCAACGTAACACTAGATGGCAGCAGATCCCAGGCACTTAAAATCCACAGTCCGTTCACTCGAGGAGCTGGCAAAATGCAAGACTATAAAGGGGCTTACACCCTAGTTATTTTGTTAAACAAGACTTCCCTGAGAAAAACTATTATGTGTAGAATGGGTTAGCAACAAGGTCTTACTGAATAGTACTGGGAACTATATTCAATATCCTGATAAACCTTAATGGAAATTAATGTTGAAAGAATGTATATATATATATAATGTATAACTGAGTCACTGTTGTATGGATGGAATTAACACAACAGTGTAAATCAACTACATTTCAATTTTTAAAAAATGACCTCCCTGAGAAGCATCTTTGTACACAGGCACACACACAGAGCACCAATTTCTGGACAGCTAAAGACAGAGACTGCCACTATGACATGACTCAGCTGGGTGCTTAGTAACATTCTTTGGGTAATTGGTTATTGTTAAAAACATACTTGCGAAAGGATGTCAGATAACCAGTAATACAACATACTAAGGAAATGAACCGTGATAGTTTCTAGCTTATGAAGTTGCATGTAGTTATGAATAAGCATAGCTTAGGGTCGTTGGACAATAATTATGGAAAAATGGTTTTGTTATTTGGTGTTCCCCAGTGTGTATTAGAATTTGGTGGCTGTATTTAAAAAGAAAAGTTCATATAAGAGAACTTGGCCGACTGTTGGCATCACTGTAAACACAAGCTTCAGCCCCTTCTGTTCAGAGGACTTCCTATTGTCCACACTCTGTGCTCATTTAGGTTTTTATTCATGAGGCCCAAATTAAAAGCACAAAATAAACGGATTTGGGCTTTTTTCGCACCATGCAGCTTACAGGGTCTTAGTTTTTCAAACAGGGATCAAATCTTGTTTCACAGGCCCTTGGCATTGAAAGCTCAGAGTCTTAACCACTGAACCACCAGGAAATTCCCTGGGACATTTTTCTATTTCAATTAGTAAATCTCAACATTTGGAATTATTTTCAAGTTCTATCTAGGTGTTATATTTCTGGCCGTTTTCCTCTTAGGAACAAAAACAGAAAAGAAACATAATTGTTTGGGAAGTCAGGGCTTCAGTTACCGCTCCATTGATCCGGAGAATATTTCACATACTTATCTACAAATTTTTCCCAACTCAGAAAGCAATCTGTTTTAGAAATAAATTGCTTACCAAGTATCTGGGTGGCCTGTTCTGCTTCTGTGTGTGCTGACAGAAAGAAGGAAATGTGTTCTGTGTTGTGGAAGTTACATTTTTGTGCTCATAATTGGCCAAGTTTAGAATTTCCCCTGTTATAAATAAGTGCTGTCAACCCTATGATGCCCAGGAAAAGAGGTTCAGACATTCGATACTTGCCAAACATCGTTTCCGCAGCAAATGTGCCCTGAGCAACGTTGCTGGCCTCTAGCTGGTCCATTCACAGGTTCTCCTCTGACGAGCACCAGAGGGAATAGCTGTGGCCTTGGCTCAAGGGAAGAAGCACAGCTTTTGCACGAGAAACCAAGGGAACCATCTGAATTGTCCGTCCAAGAGAGAAACTATTCAGATGGTTTTTGGCAGGGATACAGGATCATCACTGATGATTTTTTTCTTCTGAAGGAAGGTGTCAATTTTTCTTCTATTTCTGCTTTAACACTTAGCTGGATGATAAATACTGTGGCTTTTTTCTAATTAGCTTTAAAAAAAAAAAAAAGACAGCCAATGCCTGTCTGGTACAATAAAAAATGCAAGCAAGTTGTTTAGTAAATGCAAATTGTAGAAGTGTTTCCTACCTTGCATGTTTGTACATAGCCAGTTACCTGATTCAATGTTAATGTAGAATCAGCCATATAAAGGCATGTTACTCAGCTAGCTCATTATTTAAGCTTTTCTGGTGACTTTCTTTTTTTCAGTTTAAGTTATTGCCTGAATAGGCACTACATGCAAAAGGTACAAAAGTTTGAATTATTCCATCCGAGTGCAACATCAGTCTGTCCCATCCTGTTCAACTGCTCACTGGGCTCCACCCTCCCTGCCGTGTCCCTCAGCTGGAGGAGTGCTCCCCCCTCGTCCTCTTGGGGTGCTGCCTCCCAGGAAGCCGCCCAGTTTCTGGAAAAAAGAAGCCTTGTTTGTTTCCTCTTCATGGTCTGTTCGTTGTTTAGTTGC